CATTGTACTGTAAACAAGAGAAATTCAAATTCAAAACTGAAAAATTGGATTTTTGCGGTAAATGTTCTATAAACATTACACTAGATCTCACAGTAAACAGAAAATTACTTATTCACTCAATATTATAATGTTACATTATTGTTTCCAGTTACTACAGGTCATGCTACAGTCATGGGTAGACTATCTTTCTTTGGCTGTTATAAAGATGACATAGCCACCACCGATTCAGGTGAGTAAATAATTAATTAACATCTCTTTGTATGTAAATTTTCAGTTACATTGATTGATTGATTATTTTTTTTTTATTGGCCACTTTTTTTTTGCATTCCAGGTTTTAATTTTGATGAGGAATATCTTTATCAAGATGAACTTCTCACTAAAGTGTCTTCAAAGAAAGCTGATGATAACAAAGAAAATGAAAGTGACCTATCCTCCCCATTACCCAACCAGCAGTACTGTCTCATAGAATTTGAAAAGTCAATTACTTGTCCTGAGAACTCACTTTTGATTGGTTCCAAACTTGATACAGATATTCATATCCTTTTGTAATGTATGTTAGAATGTAAGAAATCCAAGTATTATGATACACATACATTATGCATAGTATTATACATAATACATTATATTATACATATGCACATCATATGCACCTGATTCAAAAGGTCAAATGGCGGTCATTTTAGTGCTGAAAAATCATCAAAATCAATAATTTCTGGCATTTCAGAACCGGATCTCGGCTGTTTACAGATGGATTTTGTTCAAACTTGGTACATACATTGAACATTATGGGACCTTGATGCCATTTTGTTTTTCAGATGGGATTCAAAATGGCCAACTGGCAGCCATTTTGTTTTAATGAGTGTGGGTCAACAAACCAATACATCTGTTTATCTATGACATGCCTCGACTGATTATGTTCAAATTTTATATATTCATTATACATCATGTCATAGATAAACAGATGTATTGGTTTGTCGATCCGATTCAAAATGGCCGAATGATGGCCATTTTTATGTTTAAAAAATCATCAAAACCTCAAGCATTTCTGGCATTCTAGAACCAGATCTCTGTCATTTATGGATTGATTATGTCCATATCTCTGACATGTTTATGTTCCAACTATATTACTATAAAAAAAATTTTAAATTTGATAAATAATTGGCACTGTGCCATGCATGTTTTTTTTTTTTTTCAAATGTGTATTTTCCTTAATTCTTTCCTACATGCCAATATGTGTAGACTAGCATTCCATGGTCACATAGTGCATGCCATTACAGATAAAGTAAGATATTGTAATTGTATTTATACCAGTATTTCGATTGCCTAAATACGTTGTTCTGATTGTTCAAGAACATAGTTTTGATTATGCAAGCTGTGGTTATTTAGATGATATACCACAGTTTTCTGTGTAGAAGTAGGCCAAACGTGAATAACAAGAAAATCAGTAATATTTTGCGCTATAGACGTATCGCATAGTGGATACAAATGTAACACTCAGGTATTTTGAGTTAAAAAGAAAAACATGAGAAAAATAATAAAATAATGTTGTCCATCCTCAAAAACAATCAGACGCAGTCCGAAAACAGGGACTTATGTTTTGACCTCTGTGTGTCCGTCCGTGTGTGCGTCCGTCCGAACCTTTATCTTAGAAATGCCTGGACCAATCACAATAAAACTTCAAACATACATCATACATGATATTATACATATGCACGTCAAATTGTTTCACGATCTGATTCAAGATGGCCAAATGGCAGCCCATTTTGTTCTAAAAATCATCAAAATCAAGCATTTCCCTGCTGTTTACAGATGGATTTTGTTCAAACTTGGTATATATGTTGGACATTATAGGACCTTGATGCATATCATTTTGTTTTCAGATAAGATTCAAAATGGTCGACTGGCAGCCATTTTGTTTTAATGAATGTGGTTCTAGTGCCATATCTCTGACTTGCTGTGACTGATGTTCAAATTTTAAATATTCATTATACATCATGTCATAGATATACAGATATAGTGGTTTGACAATCCTATTAAAAATGGCTGAATGGTGGCCATTTTTGTGCTAAGAAATCATCAAAATCCAGCATTTCTCGGCTGTTTACAGATGGATTTTGTTCATACACATGTACTTGGTATATTTTGTTTTTAGATAAGATTCAAAATGGCTGAACTGGCCGCCATTTTGTCTCAATGAATGTGGTTCCATTTACAAAACAATTACAGTATCTTTTGTCCTATCCGTTTCCATTGAAATACAAAAAATGTTTTTATAATGGCAATTTTTGGGAAAATTATACTTCCAATATATGTAGTATTTGTAAATAAGAGTGTCATCTGTAATGCTAATGCTGCATATACAAGGGAAAAATCAAAACATTAATATACAGTACATGTACTAACCAATCATTGGTACATTTTATTTCTGCTCAGATAACCCAAAAGATTGTATAATATTTATATATTTTAATTCATTAATACAGATTTTACACTACTTATTCATTCGTTTTCGCGGTATCATACATTAAGGACTCTTCAATAGCTTGGAGGAGAACACTGCATGATTGTGTTTTCTGTACATGTCTTGCATCCTTAATTAGTGCTGACATTGTGTTTGCTTTCATGTATGTGTGCACTATGTCAGTACAATACTGACAGAGATCAATATATTGTATGCATCACTCAAAGTAAATTTAGACCAGCGATAAATCAAGAATGAAATATATCAGTAATGTTAAATAAAGATAGAATTTTAGAAAAATGTTCACCAGTAAACAGTTTGCTATTTTAATACACGATCAGCATTGAAATTATCCTTGTTTAAATCAGTCAAATTAAGTTTTTGCTAATTTTCTAATTAAACATGTAGCACACAGTTTTCTTATTGCAAATGTCAAGTTTTCGATATTATTTATTGTAGAACTATTCAGAGTCAGTGCTTCCAAGAATAAAAATATTCAAAAACAAAACAAGAGAAGGATTTGTTGAAAGGGTAAGTCAGCATGTCTTTGACCTTTTATTATGGAGTCAATTTATTACCAGGCTGTATTGTAACTTGTCATTAAAGAATGATCCTTGACAATTTTCATTTTAATAATCATAACATTTTAAAACTTTTTACTTAACATGTTTATTATAATTAATATATTAAGTAAAAAATGGGTTGCCAGCAGTGTTCATTTGCACACCATGCACAGTGACAACAAGTTCTGTAGAGAAATGTCATCACTGTTCTACTTTCTTGGAGGAAATTTGCTTTAAATGAACAGTATATAATAACTAAAGTTATTTCCATGGACCTTTCTGCTAAAATGGCAGCCATTTTTTAATTAAAATCTGAGGCATTTTTGAAGCTGTAATTTTCCGTTTCTCGTAACGAAACATTAGTAATCTCACAATAGTGTTTATTTAAATTTACATCACTGAGCATTACGTAATATAATTAATTGTTCATGAAGGCGCTCAAATTAGACAAAGCAATAAGTAGACAAAAACTATAATGGAGATTATATTTATAACTGCCATTGTGTTGAAATAATTTAGCAAGAGCATTGGTAAAGAAAGAAAGAAATGTCTTTGTGATTCCTAGCAAATTACAAAAAACCACAGCAAAATATAAAACAATTAAAGTCAGGAAGTGATATCACTTACATATGTTGTATACATTTTATCTGTTTCATGCACTGGATTGCATTCTACGATTCCATTCTATTTTTACTAAGATGTCGAAATCATTATAAATGCTATACATGTAGTTGTTTATGTTAAATGGATACAGATGTGTTGTGTAAACGTAATTTAATACTAGTCTGACAACATGCCATATTTCGTCTTGTACGTAAATCGTATTCACTCCACATTTGTAGCTTGATATCCACATGTCTTCCTGGATTAATAATATCCATCTTTTTTTCAGATGTTAGATGACTATAATGTCATTGGAAGGGGGCTGTTCAAAAAAGAAACTAACATTCAACTGTTTATTGGTTTGAAAGTTGATCTCTCCACTGGTGAACGTGGCGTGATTGAAGGAGGATTTGGACAAAGCGGCAAATATAAAATAAGAATCCCAGGTAAGGAATTCAAGCGCTGTAGTTGAATTTCTCAAAATAATAACAATGTGTTGTATATGTTTGAATATAAAGTACATGTATGGTTTTGGTTGGTAAAGTCATTCTTGATGTCATTTTGAATACATATATAGGTGTGAAAAATTTCCTTAGTATTTATCAAAACAAATCTTCTTTGCTGTTTTAGATGGTTTAAAAGCAGAAACTAAATCCATGTTGTCATCGGGAGGTAAAAAGAAAGGAAAAGGGAAACAAACACCTCAGCAAGCAACTGGTAAGATGAAATCTGTAATCGATAGCAATATTATTTTATCCAGTATAAATTTTGAGATAAAAACAATGCATTATTGTAATAATTTTGTGAAAAAACAATACTCTATTGTCTTCAGCTCATTGCAGGAAGTAATAATAATATCTATCAAGGAGCATAAAAGTGTATGTATTCTCAGTGGCAAATTTTAAGTGATCCAACTGAGTTTTAAGTGAGGTTTTACACTTTTGGATTGGCAAAGGAAAGGGGGAAAATAAAACTGCTACAGACTGACTTGTCCATGTTGTAAAAAGAAAGATGAAACCTTGGTGCACATTGTCTTACCTTGCTTTGCAGTGCGGGAAATCGCATCAGTATTTCTCGTGTTATAGATGAAATCATTTTCTCAATTTCTGACAACAGACTCTATGATGTCATACTTTACCAATAATCCTTTGCTTGAAAATCAAGATGGCTGACTACATAATACTGATGAAAAGTTGAATATCTAGAAAATGAATAGTGATATAAAAAAACTGTAAATTGCATTCTCCTACATTTGTGGAGCTTTTTCTTGGGGGGGGCATTGTGTTGTTTGGCTTGACTTCCTCTTCGATGCCTTAAGTTAATGTTAATACATGTACCTTAAAGAGTTAGTGAGAAAACAACCTATTGTTTGGAGTCAGTACACAACCCTATAATGAAGACATTTGTACAACCACTGACAAATAAGTCAAACAATTCCTTATCAGTGCCATGGAGTCCAGGCAAAAAATTTTCAACAACATATTACATTTTTGTATTTTTTTACTTTTCCTCAATGCTAATATTCAACCAAAATTTGTTATTTTGTATAAAAACCTTATTTTTAAATTTTGTTGATGTCATATAATGCCACGTTTGATTCGTAATTTGTGCAGCTCCTATTCATTCCAATACATGTAGTTACTCCCTGGTACAACGGAGTATAATAAATAAATAAATAAATAAATAGATAATAAAACAGGAGACAGATAGTATTAATTCCCATTTTTGCTGCTGTAACTAGGAATATTTATTGCATTTTCACAGATGATGCGTCGGTTGAAGCACATCAACCTATACATGTTGTACTGAAGTTTAAACGATACATTCATGATCCGAAAAAGAAGATGATGCAAACGTAGCATGTCACCCATCTCTAAAGTAAAGGTGCAAATATTTTATTGGTGCAAATAATCTCTACTCAGAAAGTTACTCGATTCTCATGAAAAGGTCAATCTTGGTTGTGGTTTACCAGCTTTAACAAGTTACCAATAATATAACTTCTACTGTTGCCCACAAGCAGCATAATTTGATCTTGCTGCTACAATGTTTTGCATTGAAATCCATTTTGCTCTGGTTTTTTGGTCAAAAAATCAACTTTATTATTGGCAAGGATTCGTAAAATAAAGGTATGCAACTTTCACAATCATGTATGAGGATATGAAATGATTATCTCACAAGAAGCAAACTCTCAAGCTTTGCAGGCAATTAATTGAAGCAATTTTAATCTGTGTGTGTGTTTGTAACTCAAATGTTAATATAACATTACAGACTATTCGGGTAGTCTACAGTGTACATGCTGCTCGAAAATGTTGCTTAAACATTAATGTGTGAGATACCATCGCATTCAAAAACGCAAAAACTAAATGTTACATGCTTTGCAAATAAGCAAGGGCATTATCAAAATCGGTCTGAAATGAACACTAATCAGTTTATTCACAGACTCGCTAACTTGCATAAGAATTTCTTGAAATGTTGGTTTGTCTTCTTAGTTTGTTATCATCTGGCAATTGGATGACTTTCAATTTCTATGAGGTCTTCATCACATATCTCACTCTTGCATGTCCTCATTGAATAAATCCATAGTAGTTATACATAAATACTGCTTTTAGAGAAATAAAAACTGTTTTCAATATAATTTACTTTCATAATTGCTAATTTCATTATTGCGCTGTGATTTATTATGTTATTTGTTGACTTCTAAGACAGCAGAGCTACTATAAATCTTTTAATTTTCACTGACAATTTATTATTACTCAAAATTTCTCAATTTTCACTGACTTACAAAATGTAATTTTTTAATAACATGGTTTATAGCAAATTATTGACTGTATGTGCCAGGAGCCTCAAAATGTCTATAATGTTTGATAATTTGATAAATATGATTCATGGGTTTATATTTGCGTGAGCTTAAAAAAAAACATGGTGATAAAATTGCAGGAAAGATTACAAACAAGTAAAATTGACAAACCATGCAGGTTTTGTTCATGTGCAATACATTTGAGTGAACAAAAACTCATTTTTTTTTCAGCCATAGTTTCGCTTTCTCTATTGTTTAATTTTTTTTCAGACATATGAAATATAGAAATATGTCTGTGGTATCCATGATATTTTAGTGTTTACTGCATGGGTGGCAAAGTGAAAATACCTTGAGTTTATATGAAAGTCAGTCACAGATATACCGAGGAAACCCCTTTGTACATTTTTATTTCAGACCTTCTTACTTTACTTTTAAGTCTTGGTTGTGCAGAAACAAATACAAGAAATATATTTTAAAATTTATTAAAATGTGTCAATACTGTTTGTGGGTTGAAAGTGGGGGGGGGGGAGAGGGGTAAGTAGCATTACATGTCGGTTCACTTTACTTTCACTTCACATTTAAAATGCACATAGAGGTTCACCCAATGAATATTTACTTATTGATAGTTGCCATTTTTTTAAGATCGGTTAATTGTCACTTAAGTTGTACTGGTATTTAAGATCAACTTATCGGTAAATGTCAGTTATTTGTATTTACAGACAAGCTGGTAAATTCAGAGACATATCTTCAAACCATGTGTCATGCTTATGCTTTTTGTGACGATAAAATACTAATTTATGAGACCATGAGAAACGTGTATATCAAATAGTGTGCACAATATAGTACTGGTAAAGACTTAAAACTAGAGAACAGTAGAAAAATAAAATACATATGAGTAGAATGCCATGTATGCACAGCTGCTCTAGCAATTGGACTCAGAATAAAATCAGTTCAACAAAAAAACATACTGAGAATTGTATAAGTTTTCATTTTAGTTATTGATTTAGAAAAGCATATTTTTTTACTTTGATCAATGCCAGTGATGTGTTATCAGGATTAATGTGTCATGGAGAAGACGCGTAAAAGATGGATCATGTGATGCCTTTTATGCATAATCAAATATTGTTTGAATGTCAGTATATTCAAGATTATATTATATACAATGTACATGAAATAAAACATTTTGTTTTATCCCTTAGGTCTTCATATTGTCATATTTGTTAATTTCATTAAACCGATTGTCTGTTATTAATATGTTACAAGTAGTAGTTTGGCTCAAATTACCAATTGAACCCCATTCTCAACTACAATGTGTACATCACTACAAGCTCAAACATTCATTCTGCTGGTTCAATACAGTTTCATGATATAACCTATCCTGGCCATTTATGATTACAGGTCACATGACACAGTGATGGACAAGATTACCTCCATCTACACAGTCCTGTAGCATGCCGTTTATGGTTTCATGTAGCTAAGTTAGGTGAATAAGTGATGGCTATGTTTTTCTTGTCTACATATAATACCAACAAATCTCCTTACGCCACCTTTAACAACGCTCTATTCACTATGTTCAATAACTCACCAAAGACTCCGGTCAGTCAAAATGACTGTTTTAATCCTTTCCGATTTTTTTCCTGTTCGAATTTTTGGTCTGACTAGCTGTCACCTACGTGGCGGTCAGACCTCAGAGTTCGAAGGGGACCAAGCAAGGCAGGGATTTGTACATTGACATTTGATGAGTACTCTGCCAGCCAGGGATCGTCTGTTGGACCCAGCGACAAGGGATTAATTTTGTTTTTTTCCTGAGTCCTGCCCCCACTACGAGTCACTACTCCTTCGCGAACCCGTGGACGCTCCCAGAGTGGACCTGCATGGCCATAAAAAAAACGGCGGGTGGCCACTCGAAGTCTGTCCTAGTGACCCAATGTTTGCCCCTCCCCCCTGGTAGGACTGTCTCTTCCGGGATCTAGACTGGAAGCAAGGCAATACCAACTGCAGGACTCTCTTAGTATGGCCGAGTGCTGGACATAGGGGGGAACGTACAGATGTTGTTGATGGGCGGACCTTAGTCCCCCACAGGATAAAGGCCTTAGGGAAATTTTATACTCAATCTTTCCCGCTGGACCAAGTGCTACCCAATCGAGCGGTGTTTGAGACCAGAGCCAGCAGAGACTGGAGTCAAATCGTGTGCCCGATCAGATCCTTCGGTTCCTCCCCCTGACCCCGGTACCACACATTTTTTGGTTCGGTGGGCCGGGCAAAGGGGGTGGCCGCGTTCATGGAATATTTCGACCGTTTAGTCGGAAAAAATCCATACACTGAGCGTAGAGTGGTGACTCTCAACCTTCTATTTATGGCCAGCCACTGAAACGCATTGTTTTGCGCCGCCAGCACTCTGAAGTCCCAAAGGCGGAACGCACCAGCCTCCTTAACCAGCAGACACAGCCATTGATGGGACACCACACGGCTACGTGGGATATCCCGCATTGTCATCTGGCTTTCATGGGAGGGGCTGCCTCTGTACATCAGACTGCAGTTTTGTCTGTTTTTACTGGGCGTCACTGCAGGCGGGGGTTCCCCTTGGACCCACTCGTCATGACTATGACTCTGGAAACAGATGCCTCCCTCACTTGTTAGGTAGCGCATCTATTGGACGAACAAGTACAATGGGAAATGTGGCCTCTGCATTTGATTCAAGATCAAGACCACAGAATCTTGCTTCGCATGGACAACACAGCAGTGGTCTTCTATAGCGACAAGGAGGAGGGACCTGATCCCCATTGTTGTCAGTCCTAGTGGAGCAAATTCTTCTTTGGTACCTGGAGTACATGTGGAGCTAGCCGCACACCACCTTCCAGGTGCGAGAAACAGTCAAGCGGACGCCCTTTATGCGAGAATGATTGATGCTTTCCCAGGTCTCCAGACTATAGGAAAGAAGTGGGTATGATAGATGCTGCCCTAGGTCTCGATATTATAGGAAAGATGTGGGTATGATAGATGCTGTCCTAGGTATCCAGACTATAGGAAAGATGTAGGTATGATAGATGCTGCCCCAGGTCTCCACACTATAGGAAAGACATGCATATCTTAGATGCTGCCCCGGGTCTCCAGACTATAGGAAAGATGTAGGTATGATAGATGCTGCCCAAGGTCTCCAGACTATAGGAAAGATGTGGGTATGATAGATGCTGTCCTAGGTCTCAAGACTATAGGAAAGAAGTGGGTTTGATAGATGCTGTCCAAGGTCTCCAGACTATAGAAAAGAAGTGGGCTTGATAGATGCTGTCCAAGGTCTCAATACTATAGGGAAGATGTGGGTATGATAGATGCTGTCCTAGGTCTCAAGACTATAGGAAAGAAGTGGGTTTGATAGATGCTGCCCAACGTATCCAGACTATAGGAAAGAAGTGGGTTTGATAGATGCTGCCCAAGGTCTCAATACTATAGGAAAGGTGTGGATATGATGGATACTGTCCCAGGTCTCCAGACTATAGGAATGATGTGGATATGATAGATGCTGTCCTAGGTTTCAGACTATAGAAAGATGTGGATATGATGGACACTGTCCCAGGTCTCAGACTATAGGAATAAAGTGGATATGATATAGATGCTGTCCTAGTCTCAATACTA